CCGAAAATTATTCGATTTTTGACCGACTCAGACGGAAGAATATTGAGCTTACTCATCGAATGTTATCATTCTAAACTTAATTTAGTCAATATCTTCGCTTCCAATGTTATCTCAGACCGCAATAGCTTTTTCTCTCGTCTACACAATTACTTTCTCCCCCAAGGGAATCTGGTGATCGGGGGAGACTTTAATTGTGTGGACAATGTCCTAGATGAACTAAATTGTTCCACCATCCCGTTATCTGATCAAAAACTTTTTCGATCCCTTTGTGCTGATTTCTCACTTACGGACATTTGGCGCAAAAACAACCCGCGCAAAGTAACTTTCACCTGGTCTAACAAAGACCATACGCAGGCATCTAGAATTTACCGCTTTCTTATCGCTAAAGGCTTAACCCCAGTAACGAAATGTAATATTCTTCCATGCGTATACCTACTATCCGATCATGACTTTGTAAAACTTGAACTAACGACTAACCCTTCTAACCACGGTCCTGGAATTTGGAAATTCTACAGCTCTTTACTCTCAGGTGTAGAATTTAAGAAAATTATGTCAAAATCGATTAACAACTTTAAGCTCGAAATCCCCGAATTCGCCTCCCTTCGTGAATGGTGGAATGTTCTAAAAATTGAAATCCGCAAAACAAGTATTTCATACTGTATTCGTAAACAGAGAACAGTAAATGCGAAAAGAATCCTAATTACTAAGCAATCAACCCGTGCTAAAAATGCTTTACATTCTAATCGCTTGAATAACCCAGGTGTAATTAGCGATATAGAAAGCCAGTTGTCCTCTCTAATCTCGAAAGAAGCCGAGGCAGCGAAAGTCAGCTCCCGAGCACAAAGGTTCAAAGAAGGCGAGAAACCAACAAGCTATTTCTTCCGTCTGGAGAAAAAACGAGCTGACACGAATAGTTTTAAATCTTTCTTTGACGAGAACGGTGTTCTTAGAAATTCACAAAATGATCTTAAAAACATCTTAACCAATTTCTATAAGAATTTATTCACCAAAGATCCTCTCAATATGCAAATTGAAACTGAAATAATTGACGACTTCGAATTTTCACTGACTGATTTTGAGCGCACTCTATGTGAAGGCCCTTTTTCTAATGATGAAATATTTATTGCATTGGAAGGCCTTCAGACCGGTAAGTCACCTGGGTCTGATGGTCTTCCAACAGAATCCTATGTATGTTTTTGGAAAGGCCTTGGCGAGTCCCTTCTCTCGGTTTTAAACGAGACCTATCTTGCTGGCTCCCTTGCGGATAGCCAGTNAACGCGTCGGTCGACACACTACCAACACACCACCCACACACCACCAACACACCACCGACACACTACCGACACACCTCCGACACTCTACCGACACACCACCGACACACTACCGACACTCTACCGACGCACTACCGACGCACTACCAACACACCACCGACATACTACCGACACACCACCGACACATTACCGACACACCACCGAAACACTAGCGACACACCACCGACACACTACCACCGACACACTACCGACACACCACCGACACACTTCCGAAGCGTTGGTTAGATCAGCCAGGAAAGCGACTGGTTTCATCTTCACTTTAAGTGAAGATGAAACCATGATGATGATATACTCTCTTTGTTTCATCTGCCATCCATGTCCAAACACAAATAAAAAAGGCGCTTTGGCTCATTTCCGTCTATAGAAAAAATATTAGTATTCCTAACAAATACAAATTGTTCTATTGGCGAGTTACTATTTTCTTTTCTTTATCTCTGTAGACATCAATGAATGTGATCCAGCTAAAGAACTCCATCGTTGCAGTCACATTTGTAAAAATACCGCTGGAAGTTATTATTGTTCGTGTGAGAAAGGTTTTCAGTTGAAGAAAGATGGCTACGAGTGTGAAGGTAATTGTTCGCATTCTGCTATTTACTCATATCAGGTTGAAAATGATTCACAAAGTCTCTACTCTTGCCAATAGGTTCCTTGCTTACGATTCGAGACATTTTTTCAATGTCTACCCTATATTCCTTGCAAAAGATATCCCTTACTTGGCTCAGTTGACTCTGTAGAGAGAAATTCCTCTTCATGAAAGGTTAAGCCGACAGAAGTGTTTCTATTTCCCTTTATGGTTCACCAGCCCATCGCAGGTAACATCTTTCATCATGCTCATCATGTTTCCAGGACAGTCCACCGCTTTCCTCCTCCCATAAGAGGGAGGGGGGCGTGGGAGGGGGTGGGAATTGGCTTTGATCCAGACCCCTCGATCGTTCATATTCCTAGTGCATCAGCACCCACGTGCTTCAGCATTTTCCGTTGATATTTTTGTTACCTTGCGTTGCGTCGCCACTGTTAGTTCGTTAGTGGTCAACCACGCGATGCGTTTTCACAGCCCATAAAGGTGTAAGTTTTGTTTTGTTTTCATTTTTCTTCTCCTCTTTTCTTTTATCATTTAGCCAATATGTATGTTTTCNCTCAAGGCAACCATCATATATTGGTGTTGGCTTGCCAGAAATAAAGCTACCTTCGAAGGTTCTCTTTTGAGCTCCAACGCGATTATCGACTTAATTAAAAAAGATGTCCAACTCAGAATTCTTAGCAGCGACACTGATACCTTAAGGAATTTTTGGTCTTTTAAAAACGCATTTTGTTCGGCCGATGCTGGTAAACCTGTCTTCTTTCCCTCTCTTGCTCCCCCCTGAACCTTTGTATATAATAAAACTTGTTAAACCTCGCCCATGAGGGGTGCTTACTCCGGGCTACAGGCCCGCGCGCTGTTTGCGCCCCACATGGTCGGGACAAAACTCTTTGTAAATAGTAAATAGAACTTTGTAAATAGAAAACTTGTAAATAGAACTTTGTTACCTCTTACAGGTGGGCGCTTACTCCGGGCTGTTATAGCCCGTGCGCTGTTCGTGCCGCCTGTAAGAGAAAATGTCATTAGTTAATGGAGACCTGTAAATACTTAAGTAACTCATAATTCAATTCGAATACTTTAATCAATTAGAATTGTAAATAGATATCATTGACGAAATAAAACCGCCTGGTCTCCAGGCTTTTATATTTAAAAAAAAAATTGTCTGCTGTTAGATATATATATCTATAACAAGTTGATTCGCAGAACTGCTTTCAGAGTGCTCAATAGCGAACTAGAGCGTGTTATAATTGTGAAGGGAGTGGTCAACTGAATATTTGGCTTGGCATTTATTACTATTCAGTTTCGTACTACACAGTTTGTGTGGAACTCGTCGGATAAAATTGCCAAATGCGAACTTACAACGTTACACTGATTTCAAATAACGTTCACCGATTTGAAATAACGCGATACCTACCATATATGGGTTCTTTGCCTTACGCGCGCGATATATAGGTAAGGGCTAGAAATAAATAAGTAAATAAATAGATAAATGAACACACACACTGAAGCGTGGCAACGAATAAACACAAACGTGCGTGCATTAAAAACGGACACTATTGCGTGCCAGGGTAGCACGTATCAAATTCTGTAACGTACACTGCTGGTTTAAAAAAAAGTGTCTTCTGATATCCAGAGCAACATTAAACAATCAAATGACCGCCTTGTACCCGCTGACAAGACCTCTAATTTCTACAAGATGGATAAACTTACATACAATGGGCTTTTACAGAAGAACATAACCAAGACCTACAATAAAGTACCACCTAACTAGGCCACAGTATTTATTGAGTTGGCAAGCAAAGGAATCGCTAAGAAACTTGACTTAGACGAAAGAGTAAACACCACTGCCAGGCGGGAAGCCTTTATAACCCTTAAGGACCACAAGCCCAACTTTGCCAACAACCCGACCTGCCGTCTAATCGACCCGGCCAAATCGGAAATCGGGAAGATCAGCAAACAAATTCTCGACCGAATAAACAGGGGCA